CTAAATTGTTTTAGTTATTTTTATAGTATATATATATATATATATATATATATATATATATATATATGCCAAATTGGATTCAGACATAAAATAATTAAATTTATATTTCAAAAAATATATTTTTCAAAATTCTCTCTAAGAGGAGAATAAATGATTACATAGTTTTGACGAAGTTAAAAATGTTAGGTAATAATCATTTTTGATTAATAATTGAGTTAAACAGTTGCAAATTACGGTCGATGACGATCTCTAGTGATTATTAGCTTTCCATTTTTCTTCTAATAATGTGGACTTGACTATTAATTTTCTCTCTTTACCTTTTCATGTTGACAATGATGTCCTCTTTATAGACCTATGGGAGGTACACTTAAAATTTCATAGCACTCATTTGGATGGCCGTGTTGATTCATTTGATGTTCATTCTTTTTATATTTAAGTACACTAACAACATTAGGATTGAGTGATCTTAAAGTTCTTTTAATTTCACTCATTGTGACTCTCAATTTGACTATAAGCATTTTAAGATTATTTCACATTACAATTAATGCTTCAAAACTTCTAATCATACTAGTGATTGATACCAAGCATATTTGAGCTCAAATCAAATCACTTTTAATATAAGTGGGTATGTATTGTAAAGATGTTTATTTTAGCTATAAATTTTCAAAAATCAAAGCCTTCATCATCGTGAATTTGAATTTAAATAATATTTTATCTAACAAACGTATAGATTCATGCTTGATCATGTGAATTCTATTATGACACATCAGGTTCAAAAGTCATTTAGAAATCTGATTAACATGACTCGTGCAAATATTAGAGTACAAATTAAATTACAAATAAATGCTATCAATTGAATGAAATAGTAAAACACTATTGTCATTCATTCAATGATGAAATCTTGTATGGTTATTAATTTTTAATACTATTTGATTCAAATTTTCCCATCTAAATTACATTCACATGATGAACAAAGAAGCTATTAAATAAAAAATTTTTGACATAATGATATGTATTCCCTTTATTTAGGTGGGTTTTAAGGCGTGGCTCTAAAGGAAAAGTGTCATGAATGAATTTTAAGTGGCAAGGCCTAATAAATGTTTATTCATAAAACAAAGATTTGGTACATATAATTTTTAATTACAATCATTATGTATTAATAAATTTTCAAATAGGGAGTGAACATGTATGAAATTGTTGGCCAGCATCACAAGGGTTTGCAGAGTTCTTGTGAATAGTTATGTTGATTGTTTAGGGACTGTACTTGGTCCCAAACAAGATAGGCTTATTATAGACACATTTATGTACCATTTAAATTATATTTATATGTTTTTTTTATAACATGATTTGTTGATAAATATGCGACATTTTCAATTATTTTTGTGAAATTTAATTTGAGTTTATTTACTGATTTTTATGATATATAAAAAATTATTTTTTACTATTAAACTTAGTATTTTCTAGTAGTCTCCTACATTTATTATGAATAAAAAAAAAGGAAAATAAAAGTGGTTTCAATCTTGCATTGCTACAATAGCTTTCAATTCTAATAATATTTTTTAGGGGCTTTTACATACATATCACTCAAAACAACTTGTTTACATCCAAAGTTTTATATTCATAGAAAAAATATTTTATCTAACTTCCGGTTATGTTTCCGTTGGGAAAGTCATTAGAGACTCCTGCTTAAATCCAGCCGTCGAAGTTTAGAAAATTTTACGTCCGTACAGTGTGTCCGGACGTCCAAATGACCAACTGTTAGGGGCGCCATGACGCCATATATGTCGGCGCAGCGTCATAAGTTCGGACGTAATATTTTTTCTGCTAAATCAGTTAGTGTGTCAGGACGTCCAAATGACCAACTGTCAGGGACGCCATGATGCCATACATGTCGGCGCAGCGTCACGTGGTGCCCTATGATTGTAAGTTCGGACGTAATATTTTTTCTGCTAAATCAGTCCTCTGTTGATCTTCCCACTGGCAGGTGGCAGCCACCTCGCCATTCTCTCTGCCTTCCATCAAAGATAGAATAAACTCCATTCCTCTTTCTCCGTCTTCCTCCTCTGTGGATCTCTCTCGCATTTTACCCACAAAAGAACAAGAATAAGAGCTGAGCTTTCAGTTCTTTCCCTGGCATAGCTTCAAGAATGCTCTACACTCTCATTTGCAAACGTCTACGGTAAATTCTGTCTTCTTCAATTTGCAAGGAAGGCTGCAACCATCGTGGTTTGGTACGGCGTTGCGCTCCTGCTGCCGAGTGCATCTCAGCCAAAGCAGGAGTCCCCGATGGGTATATTTGATAAAATATTTTTTTCTGTAAATATTGTAGTTTCAGTGTGGAATATGTAATTAGAAAAGTTTTGATTGAATTATCACTATTCATTTGTAAAATGCATTTTAATGAGATGTTTAAATCGACAATAATAGTGAACCACAATTTTGTATGATATATATATATATATATATATTATTGTACGCTCGTAAATTCATGATGGATATGTTAAAGTCTTATTATTTTTTAGGATATGAAAAATGCATTGACAGAAAAGATAACATGAGATTTATGTAAAAAATATGAATGGGCAAAAAACACGGGTACCAATCGAGTTGAAATGATTCTTTTATGTCAATATAGATTACAACAAATTTACCGACTCTTGAATAATTGAAAGTATATTACACGAGTGGGATATGACTTTCGTTAGAAAAGTGACAAAAATATTGGAGAAATGATGGTGACCCGACTGCGAAAAGTTTGATAACAACATCGATGACGACAGTGATGGTAAGACAATAAAGAACTGGTGGGGGTGATGATGGTAGCTCGGCTGCTACGATGGCGGTAAAAAGTTAACAACAGTGGAGATTAGACGGTGGTGGTCTGACGAAGGCGTTTGTCAGATGGTGGTCCGATGTCGATTAGGCAATGACAGTCCGACGATGGCAAAGGCTTGATAGCAGTGTCTAAGTAGTGTTGGTCTAGCAATAGTGGCAACGACCATATGTTGATGGTTGGACAGTAGCGTTCTAGTAGGGGCCAAACAACAGTTGTCTGGTGGCGGTAGGAGCTTGAAAGTGGTGGCTAAGCTACAATGACGGTGGTCAGACAACGATAATAGCTAATCGGTGGCGGTCCGACAGTGGTGGAACTTAGGAGCCCTAATAAACTTGAATTTCTTCAACTTTCTCTTCCAAGTCCGGTCTCAAGTCTCATTTCATGAAGGTAGTTAGATTCTATTTATAAATTTTGTGAGTGAATTCCTTTGTAAATACCACATGTACTCAGATAAATCTAAAGGATGGCTAGGAGTGATCTCTTTGATAAGATGATGTTTATATGAGTATTTGAGTGTCTTAATAATGCCAGAATCGAGTAATACAAGCTCATTGGATTCAACGCAATGATTCACTCTATTTGATTATAAGCTTGTCAAATGTCTAATCTAATTTACCATTCAATTGTCCATCCAAAACTTCCTATTACGCTAAGATATTTTTATATGGGATTGTTCTAACTAAAATCAAATTAATTTTGGCTTCATTAGGCTCGCCTTGTCGAGAAGCTAAAAGCGGGGCAATCGATTATCTTGATTTTGGGCCAGAAATATTTATTATTCAAAATAATTATATTTTATTTTTTTTAATTTGTGAGTATCAAGTATACAAATTTTATTGTGAGAGAAACTGCCGAATCACCAGACCAACATCACATTCATAATTTTTTTTTAAATAATCACATACTAAGAAAATATGGTTATAATGGCCAAAAATATTTTTTTAAAAATATAATTTAGAAATGTTGGACATCCACATTTCACTTATTTTTTTTCTTAAAAAAAAAAATAAATAA